ACCCGCCTGGGCAACTTGGCGAGACCTCATCTCTACAATAAATAAAAAAAAAATTAGCTGGGCATGGTAGCGCATGCCTGTAGTTCCAGCTACTTGGAAGGCTGAGGCAGAAGGATCGCCGGAGCCCAGCAGGTCGAGGCTGTGGTGGCCGGGAGCGGCCACTGCACTCCAGTCTGGGCGACAGAGTGAGACTCCAACTCAAAAAAAATAAACAAATAAAAATAAATAAATAAAAGAAATTCAAGCCAAAATTTACTATGTTGATTTCACAATCCCTTAAGTGTGTCATCATTCTTTGTGAAAAGAAAACACACACCCACTTTCACTCCTCAGTGCTTACCTTTGTTGGTAACAGATCGAAAATGTTGAAGAGCAAGCAAGTCCTCACCTTCTAGTTTCTGGGAGGCACAGAAGTACCTTCTAAAGATGGGTCAGTTTGGACACAGTGGCTCATGCCTGTAGTCCCAGAGCTTTGGGAGGCTGAGGGGGGAAAATGGCTTGAGCCGAGTAGTTCAAGACCAGTCTGGGCAACATAGCAAGTACTCATCTCTACAAAAAGTTAGCCAGGCATGGTGGTGGGTGCCTGTTATCCCAGCTACTCGGGAGACTGAGGCAGAAGGATCGCCTGAGCCCAGGAGGTCGAGGCTACTGTGAGCTGTGATCGTGTCACTGCACTGTAGGCTACAAAGTGAGACTCTGAATAATAATAATAATAAAAAAAAGATGTGTCAACCCTGCAAGCCTATTCTGGTTAGACATGAGCTGGTATCAGAGGTAGCTTGTCAGGTGGAGTGGATACTGTGTTTAACTTTAAAAGTTGGCCCTGCAACTTGCTGTGTGACCCTGGGCATCCTTTAAGCTCTCTGAGCTCATTCCTTCTCTCTACAGCTGGAATAATAAATAGTATTCTCTTGCTTACTTCATGAAGTTGTGACTAGGCTCACAGTTAGACAACAAGGCATTTATCACAGGGCAGCAAATCTCAAGGTATGAGCTTTAATCCTCACAATAGCGCTCTAAGACACAGAGTATCATCCTTGTTTTAGATGAAGAAATTGAGGCTTAGAGAAGTGACATGCAAAACCTAACGTCAAGTCTTAAGTGGCAGAGCAAGAACTCCAGACTGGTTCTGGCTCCCAAATGCTCACTCCCAGGGAAAGGTAAGCACCTTTCACTCGATGTTAAGTGCTGGCTCTCTGATGTGTTGAAATTTAGACTCACACTGAATCCCCAAGGTGTGATGACTTCGGAAACCTGTCCACCAGGCCAAATTTCCTGACCCTGTATTGCTCTAATGCAAATGTGTAAAATGTCACATGAGGGCTCTGAGCTTTAGTGGGGAAACCTGCCTTTAAGCCCCTAGAGAGTGTGAACACTCACAGCAGTCTTCTGCTCCCCAGTCAGAACTGGACACAATTCTTTTTTAAAATTAAATTAACTTTTTAAATTTTTAAAAAAATCCGGGGTCTCACTCTGTTGCCCAGGCTGGAATGTAGTTGCACAATCATAGGGCACTGCAGCCTCCACTTCCTGGGTTCAAGGGATACTTCCACTTCAGCCTTCTGTGTAGCTGGAACTACAGGCATGCACCACCACACCCAGTTAATTTTTTTTTTTTTTTTTTGAGTTGGAGTCTCACTCTGTCACCAAGGCTGAAGTGTAGTGTCTTTTTTTTTTTTTTTTTTTGTGAGTCAGAGTCTCACTCTGTCGCCCAGACTGGAGTGCAGTGGCCGTTCCCAGTCACCGCAGTCTCGATCTGCTGGGCTCCGGCGAACCTTCGCCTCAGCCTTTCGAGTAGCTGGAACTACAGGCGCACGCTACCACGCCCGGCTAGTGTAGTGTCATGATCACAGCTACTGCAGCCTCAACCTGCTGGGCTAAGGTGATCCTTCTTCGGCCTTCCAAATAGCCGGAACTTCAGGTGTGCGCCACCACACCCGGATACTTTTTTTGATTTATTGTAGAGACGAGAGCTCACCAAGTTGCTCCAGGCTGGTCTTGAACCCCTGGGTTCAGGCAATCCTCTTGCCTCCACCTCCCAAAGTGTTGGGACTGCGCTTGGCTTTTTAATTATTTATTTTAATTTATACTTTTTTGTAGAGAGGTGTTCTCCCTATGTTGCCCAGGCTGGTCTTGAACTCCTGGGTTCAAGCTATCCTCCTGCCTTGGCCGCCCAAAGTGTTGGGATTACAGGCATGAGCCACTGTGCTCAGCCCAACATTTTTTTTTTTTTTTAACTTTTTAAGAGGGACAGGGTCTCGCTTTGTGGCCCAGGCTGGTCTCGAACGCCTGGACTCAAGGGATTCTCCCGCCTCAGCCTCCCACCTACTGGTTTTGCAGGCGTCAGCCACTGCCCGCCCTGGCACAGTGCTTTAAATGGCGTCCCCAAGCGAAGTCCCCAGCTCGCTGGGTCACAGCCACTTCCGTCTGAAAGCGCTCTTGCCCGGGACGCGTCGCTTGCAGCCTCGCCCGGCCGTGGGCTGGCCACCGCGGAGGTAGCCCCCTCCCGGCCGCGACCCGGGAGGCCCCGCCCCGACCCCCTGGCGGGAGGGGCGGGACCCACAAAGCCCTTTATTGAGGCCGCGCGTGACGCGGCCCCGCCCGGGCGCCGCCTCCCAGCCCTGGCCGCCGGCGGGCGGGAGGCGTATGCCCGCGGCGCGCCCGGCGGCGTGTGCCCGGCCGTGAGCGCCTAGCCGGGCGCGCAGCCTTGCAGCCCGGAAGT